ATATATATTTTTATATATCTTCTTCTACTATGTTTTTATATAGATAAACAACATAAAATTACCACGTAATGACAATGGTCGTAATAAAGGATTTGGATATGTTGAATTTGAAGAGCGAAAAGAACTTATTACTGCTCTTGGAATGGAAAATTTGGTAAGCTTAAAAATACATTTTCTTTAATGATATTTACTATTTAATTAATTACCTATTTGATCATTTAGATCAAAATATATCTTCTAAAAAAGCACCAATATAATATATTTAATAATTATATCGGTCGTCAACAGAAGTATAGTAATTATACATTCTTTGTGGAAAATTGATTTTAATAATCAATTTTTCAATCCAGGGTGTTACATTTTAATGTAATTAATAGATTTGTCTAATTATGTTTCAAATAGGTTTTAATGAAATATTTACTTTTATCTAGATTCGTGGTCGTCGTGTACGAGTAGAACTTGCCAGTGGAATGCAAGATTCGAGAAATGCTTTTCAAAGAGGCAGTCGCATGGGTATGGATTTTCCTAGTGGTGATGAACCTGGTGATTGGCGATCGACAAACCGAACTTCAACTACTGATGATAGAGGAGGTAAATTCCTAGCACATTTATTAGTAGGACTTGTAAATTGTGAGAGAAACACTTCAATTTCATTTCACTAATATCTTAGGTAGTTACTTTAATTCAACATAATATTTACTACTAATTTAAAACACTACTTATATTTATAGTTACTATACAGGTAACTAATAGTGTTTTAAGTAATCTATCAAAATGTTTTCTTTCCCTAAAGCTTACCAATAACTTGGGTGGTTTTCCATTTTAACAGCTGGCAAAACAAATTGTAGATCATTATATTTCCTATATTATTCTTATAACTAAATAAATTATTCATTTTTTTGCATACTATAAACTTTTATATGTACATGCACATGTTCATTTTAACCTCCATAATTCTTGAACCCTAATTATTACCTTCTAACTACATTAACCTAATGAGTAAAGTTATATTATTTTATAGGATTTACTAGGCGACGAGATGGTGGTGCTTTTGATAAAGACCATGATAGTGAACAAGATAATGGTCCTTGGAGAAGTGCTAGATGTAATGTTGATGATGATGTAGCACGTAAACCATTCAGTGATCGTCGTTATGATAATTCTGAAAGTGGAAGAAGACCTTTTAGTGATCGGCGAGGTGATGACTCTGAGGGTGGAAGAAGACCTTTTGGTGATCGTCGAGGAGAAGATTCCGAAGGTGGAAGAAGACCATTTGGTGATCGCCGAGGTGATGACTCTGATAGTAGTAGAAGACCATTTGGTGATCGTCGTTATGATGATTCTGACAGCGGAAGAAGACCTTTTGGGGAGCGCCGGGATGATATAGATGGTGGGCGAAAACCATTCGGCGAATCTAGAAGAGGATTTGGTTTTAATAAACGAGATGATGATTTACCTGAAATTGGTAATTATTAATTATCTTAGTTAATATTTTTTAATGATTAAGCACACATTTGTCAAATTTTCATAAATCAAGTTTGAATTACCCTAACAGTAATTAAATATTTGAAACCGTTAAATTTCAAGATATAAAATTAGACAAAGTAAAATGAATAATTTCTATTATTGATTTTATGGTAATAAGTTTAACTAAAATTTAACTTTTATTTATCAGCTGGAGATAATACTTCAATACCACAAGAACGTCCAAAGCTCATACTCAAACCAAAGACTGTTGATCCTAATGCATCAAAGACTGAAGCACCTAGCTATGTAGCTGCACCATCTATATTTGGTGGAGCTAAACCTGTAGATACAGCAGCTAAAGAAAGAGAAATTGAAGAGAAACTTTTAGCCAAAAATGAACTTAAACCTCAATCAGAATTGTCTCGTGCTTCTTCGGAAATTAGTTTAAATGAGACTTCTGATAATAAGTAAGTTTTATCTCTTCTATTATTAACTAATTGTTTATATTTACATCTTCAAAGTAGTTGCTTTGGGACCAATAATTAAATATCAAATGATAATGGATTAACCACTTAAAATTATTGTTTAAAGTATTTATATAAAGTTGTGTATATTTACATTTCAATTTTAAATTTATTATTTTATTAAGTTCTAAGATGCTAAAGGTATGGGGGAATCACAGCCTAGTTATTAATTCAAGCAATTTCTAATGGTTACCATTATTTCTTAAATTATATGCATTTAATAAGATTGTAATTAATATTTTCATTTTTTAGACAATCCATAYGTACCTATTTAATAAAAACATTTATGATGGAACTAAAAGATTATACTCTAAGCCCTAAGGCTTGGTATGAATCATTGTAGATAAAATAATTGATTTTTCCAAATTTCTAATGAAGACAAGTTTCTACTTTATTAAATTACTAAATTCTAATTTGGCTGATTTTTGATAGACCAAACTTAGTACTTTATTATTATTTGGAATGAGCATTCAGCCAAAATTAAATGAGCAATCATAGTACCAGCTAAATTAATTCTATTTAGTTGACCTCCGATTTGCTCGATAAATTAAAAAAAAAATCAATTTGATACTTTTTTCTTTTATGCACTCAATTATTGATCTTTTAACACCATATGCTCTGTACTATCTATAATACAACTATTACATTTTTTCTGTTCAAAAACCTATTTTAAAAACTAACAATTTACTAAACTTTATTCAATAACTTGGCAAATGAATGCCTATATTTTATTTAATGATTTGTAATTTCCCAAATCATTTTTGTCAGGAATGGAATAAATATTATTTATAAAATTATTTACTAGCAAATTATAAATTCATGAAAGTATATTTAAATTTTAGGAAATCATTTAAGAGGAAAATAACTCCAGGAACTGAAAGTCGAGTAAGGCTGATTTTTGATAGACCAGGAATAAAGTTTTTATTATCTGGATTGAGCATCTAGCCAATATTAAAAGTGCAATCATAGTACCAGCTAAATTTATTTCTGTTTAGTTGACCTCCAATTTGCTCGATAAATTAAAAATAATTATAATTCATTTATTTAAATTACTTCATTTCAACTGAAGGATTTAATGAAATTAAAATAACCTAATTGAAGGTAGCTTTGGAATATTTTTGATTTTGAATGAATTGTATTTGGTAAACTGAATAAACGAGACCTATCATAAACATCTTATTTTATAAGGTGTCAAGAAGAAACGGAAGTCAAGCCACCATCTCAGCCTAAATCAGTTGAAACTTGGAGGCGCAGAAGTCCACGTCGACAAAGTGACGATGATCGTGTACCTCGGCGAAGAGCTTCTCCTGAACGCAACCCTAGATATGAAGAAGCTCCACCTCCACGTGAAAATGCTTGGGAAAAGCATTCTCTAATTAAAGAATCCTTGTCTTCCGAAGAAAATATGTGCAATGGAACCCCGTCAATGTAATTAAAACATTTATATTGATCTTAATATATTTTAATTACAATTTTAGTATCTTATGTGGTTTTTATTTGTAGAGTTGATGATGAAAAACCGAGACCAAACGTTTATGTGCCACCAAATCTTCGTAAAAAAACTGTTTTAGACGAAGAACCTGATGTAATAGCTACAGAAGAATCTGAACCAATTAGAAAAGAAACTGTCCCTGATTTAGATAAAAATATTCCGGATAGAGCAGCTGATGGGTCAGAAATTAACGAACCCAACATTATAGAAGCTCCTATTGATGTAAGAACTGACCCTGACGGGCAATCTAGTGAACCTGATGTAGTGAAAGATCAACCAATTACTGAAGAAGATACAAATGACTCTGGATTTATTGAATGTGGAAAAAATAGTTCTGATAAATGTAATTTTTTATTATTTAAATGTTACTTTTAACACAAATAAACTTATATTGCTTATTTTTAGATAAATCAAAAAAGAAGTCTAAAGTTGTTAAAAAATTACCAGAAATAGAAGTTAAGAAGAAGTAAGTTAAGCTGTTTACATATGATAATTAATTTGTAACTAATTAATTTAATTCTATTATTTTCAGAGATCCTGTTATAACTAAAGAACTCAAAAAATCTGTGAGTATTATTTATTATTGACTTAATTTAATAAGTATATACAMAATTTTAGATTTTGATTAAAATTTTTCGGGTAGACATCAATCAGTTGTAATTCTAACATATTTTTTTATAAKTTTCCTAATGCCACATAATGTGAATGTATGCTCTAAAATTGTTAAAATATGTAATTTTAACTAACTTGCCTCTAAATTTTTTTAAATGGAATTATTTTTTATTTCAAGTTAGGTATATCGTAWATGCTAGTATCACCTTAGTAAAAATTCTAATTTCAAACATAACAATTTGCATTATTTTTATGTTATATAGTACTTACTATATTAAAAAATATTGTACTAGTAATTTTGTCTTGGGAACATACCGTAAAATTACAATCCTGAATTCTTATCACAGTACATTTACATTTTTGATTTAGAATTAATGAATTAAGTTTACATATGTTGCAAATTTGTAAAGGAGTATATTATGATCGAAATTGCTTAGGTACATATATTTTATTTTCATATTTTTTTATTAACCTATTCCAGGTTTGTTTAATTAAAAATTATAAAAATGAAAAATTCTTTGTTTGAGTTCAATCTATATTCTCTTCAAACTGTATGATGAGTTAATTTGTTAAAATATTTACTGTTATATAAACTGTAGTATGAATTATGTTTGCAATTTGTGTGTCCTAAGACATAGCAACGTATGAGTGGTGTCCTCCTAAGGCTTTGGCATACTAAACCAATTTAATAATAACGGTAAACCTATATTTTGTGTGTGTTTGATTATGCATTATAAAAAAAAAAACTTGATATTGTCTCTTTAGTATGTGGTTTATTAATGGAAAATGGATAAATTGTAAATACCAATGATAATTGAATTTTTATTTTTATATTTTATCTTTAGTTGTATTTGTTGAATGTAGGCTTAACCTGTCTTAAATTAATGTTATTKAAAATACTTTCTAATGAATAATCTTGGGCAATATTTAATACTGGCATTCAATTTTACAACAAAAATATATCTTAAAAGTACCACACACAGAGGTAACGTCAGTAACAATAATATTCTTTTGTCATGGCAATGCTGTTGCAGTGGAGGTTAAATAGGTCTGTACTCATATTACTGGTTCAGTGTGTGGGGAAGTTATAATAGAATGTATAATATTTCAGATTCATAACTTTGTATAACTCTTATCTTTGTATGTGTAATTATAGTTAATAACTGTGCTACTATTAAATATAAAGACTTAATTATTATTTAATATTTCAAAGKTTTCCATACATTAAAGCTGTGGCAGTAGCGATAAAATGTGTCCAAACATTATTTGTTGCTAAGATAAAAGAATTTTATTTCCACCACTAAAAAATGCATGGAAAACTTAGCTGTATTTAAAAAATATCATGTACAGTAGACAGTTACATAATTTATTCAGGGAAACGTGATGAAATGGGGTGCAATGGCAAGCAAATAACCAAAATATGTAATAACTAGATATTTAATTACATTATTAATTTTGTGAACATCAATACTCTGTTCAGTGAGTACACATGCAACGGGGAAAGTCGGTTCATATATGGTTTACTAGCCTTCAAAATAATTTCCATTATGACGAGGTTAGGTTAGGTTACAAAGGGTTTCACAGAATCATCTCAGTCACTCATTAGACAGATTATAGTTGCTCTTATTAATTATCACATTATATTAATTCATAACTGCAATTTTCACTTTCATAAATATAATTTTTTTTTTTTGTTTTAGACTAGTAATAAATTTGCTGCACTTCTTGATGATGGTTCCAACGAATAAAAAAAAAAAAGATGTATGTTTTATTTTATTTTTTTTATTATTTTTCATTATATTGTTATATTACTTATATTTAAGGATATATATATATATATTATATACATGAGAAAAAGAGAGCTCTTAAAAATTGTAAGACTCAAGACAGCTGGCTTTTATCTTACTTTCTTTATAATCTCATGTCATATTCATTACATTAATGCCTAAACAAAATGTTAAATAGTAAATGCAATTTAATTGTTTGTTACACATTTTAAGTTTCAGTGAATTTCATGTCTGTTGTTATACCATATCCATACAAATTTAAAGTGATACAAATTAAGATATTCATCTTAATTTATCTATTAAATTTTTTTTTTTTATGTTTAAAGTTTTGTGGTCTGCACAATTTATGCCACATTACAAACTATAAACATTACACACTTTTGTGATTTAAATCTTAATTTATTTTGCAATTTGTCGTCTAAACAATTCATAAGACTGCTTACTTGAATAAGTGAATTATATTTTTTTTTTACATATATATATATATATATATATATAAAAGTATTAGGTATTATGATCAGACGCTCATTATTTATGTTAACAAGACTTTGACCAAGGACAAGTCACTGCCAAGTTTTCTTTTAGCATCTTCATTTGTAAACATTTTAAAATTCTTTTTGTGATTTGTGTTTCAACAGACTATTAAATAATTATTTGATTTTAACTCTAAATTATATATATATATATATATATATATTCATAAATTATAAGTAAGTATTATAATTTATTAAAAAAATATTAGATATAATTTTATATTTTGTCCCTTGAATRTATGCAGTCTTGTGATGTATTTATTATATTTTTTGTTTTAATTTTAAAATACTTAATTGTTTAAGTTTATGAGTTAATTTATTTTTGATTTTAACTTAGTTTCAAAATATAATTTCAACCCCATTTAATTATTTGTATTGTATGTATAATAATAAATTGTAAAATATTAAATTAATATTTTTAATTTTTAGTGTATATTTAAATTTACAATATCAATATTATTGTATTCATTAATTATAGAACCGGCCCTAGCAGTTTTTATGTTAAGGTTAATTATAATAATTATTGTGCATTAATTATATAAAAGTGTTGTTCATTGGTTATTTCATTTAGTATCCCTTTTTAAAATTATTTGTTAAACCTTATTCATTACCGAAAATTGTTATTTAGTTAGTTTTTCAAAAGTAATATTAAAACCTATTCCTTAAATATTTTATGTAAAATGTGTAATGATTGGACAATACAGTAATTATTTATACTGCCTTAGTGATTCTTTAAATGTATGTACTTTATTTGTAATATTGTAAATTATGGTTTACTATGGATTATTTTTTAAAATACATGTGATATTATCTATCAATTTTTTTATATATACATATATTGTGGGATTTTTTTTATATCTACTGATTTAAATTCAACATTTTTGGTTGTGCAATTTAACTATTTAATCTTGTGTGAATTAGCCTTCTTTGTATAGTTATATTTAATTTGATATTTAATCTTTTAAACTAAATTATTCCCATGCTTTTTAATTTTTTTCATGATTTATAGAAATTGGGAATTACTAATAAGTGTTGCGCACTGGACTGCAAGAAATTAAACAAATGTAATAAATATAATAATTGTATTTAAATTATATAATTGTTTATAATTAGGAAATTGTGTAATTTATTGTTGATTATTATCATCTGATATAGTTGAATGGTATTTGGTTCTCATGTACTACGTTTATACTACATACATTAATGTAAGTCATTTTTAAGTGCTAGTCCTGTTTATTTGTAAGCAGTGTGTGCTTAAGTGTTGAATGTATTGTTTTCTCCCACGATTCAACAATTATTGGCTTGACATGTAACCTGTAACTAAATGATTACTATGAGTTTTCTGAATAAGAGGTACCTTTTCAACACACAATATGTGTCCGGACTAGTGAAAACTTTATATCCCCACCGCCTTGTTAAAATTCCAGAATTTTGGGAATCACAGGAATCCTAAAGTTTTTTTGTATCTTTATATCGATTTTTAATAATTGTTTTCCAATAATTATTTCTATATCACATATACTAATATCGCTATTTGATATTTGTTGATGATAATTCTATGTATGATATGCAGTCAATATAATAGAAAAAAATATGAAAATGTTATTGAAAATAATTTATTAATATCACAGATTAGATTACGTTAATCTTAGTGATGAATACATTGATTTAAAAATATAATTATTTGTTCCCTGAGGGTAAGGTAGGTAACATCATTGATTGTAAATACTAGTATTTATAATCAATGGTAACATTTTTTCGATCGTTTTTGTCATAGAATCAAATGTAGTCCCCTATTTATTCTAAAATTAAGCTAATGAAGTAATGATAGTTGCCGTTGGAAAAGCGGAAAATCCATCTAAGCTGTTAATATAAGGCTTTCTCGTATTCCTTTCACTCGACGCTTTTGAAAACTACTGGAATTTTTTTAATATTGACCTTCCATCAAAAAAATAAACAATAAAAATACCAACTACCTAAACTTTCTATTATAAATCATCGAATAATTTTTACTGCTCTAATAGGTGACGATGAAGGCACACAATGACACAAATCAAAATGCGTTAGTTGAGAGAGAACTGAAGAGCTGCTTTGGAGGACACTGGAATCTGAGACAACGGTGTCCATACCCTGCTACAGAGGATAACTAAGTCATCAAAGCGTACACTAAGAAGATAAAGTTGATCAGAGCAGAAAAAAAGACCAAGACAGCGTGAAAGTCTCTATTTTGTTAAGTTATACTCATATATTAAAGTTACGACAAATAATAACGTGTGCCAAAGGTAAAATTACGATAGGTAGAGCTCTATATTTTGTTAAGAAAATAACATAGATATGTGTGTTAATTATAAATTATAACAAATTGCTGAATAACCCGGCTTCGCCCGTGTACAGTTTTTTACAGGCTGCTTTTAGATATATTGATCCTAGGTTGCCCATGATAGAAGTTTCCGTAAACTCTTTTAAAACTAATTAAGTTAAACAACGTTGTAACATTATTATATACAATATGGTGTTAAATAAACAAAAAAAAAATATTTATATTGACATATTTTATTCATCTCAATACCTCTTTATAGACAGTATTTTTGATACTGCCTTTGGGKCTACAATAACTAAACTACTGGCAGAGCTAACTCTAGAGTCTAGAACATGCGACATAGAACTGTCCATATGAAAAACATTCTTCTCTCAAGTCAATCCCTGCCATGCTCAATGCCCTTGAGACTTATTAATAGTCATAGCAAAGCAAACTTTGAGTGGGAATTGTATTCTTTTAAAGGATAATCAGCTGGAGTCAACGTTAGTCTTGCACACCCAGTGATAACTATAGCTTAACTTGCAATCTAGTTCCATTACACAATTTAAGCGGGTTATGATTTCTTAGTAACATTATAGGTGCTCCAATTTTAAGGATAAGTTTATGTGATAGAAGACCAGAAGGATTTAGAGTATCAAGAAATTCTAAAGGGTAATGGACACTGGACAGCATCATCCGAATAGATCACTGAATCAAAAAATAAATATTCAACAGCTTTTTCATTGAATGCCTATGCCTTTATTAGAATTGCATTGATTTCGGCTGCTTTATGGTTCTTTGGAATTAATATGGCTCACTCGCACAACCATTCGATGGGTTTCATCTTGATATTTATTATATCTGGGTAAATTCTGGAAGTTAGTTCTGATAAAGAGCTAACAACTGTACTGCAATTTTAGGGACTAGTGATCTCACCTTCAAATATGAAGGGCAATTTCGGTCCCCTATTTTAAGTAACATCTCAGCGAAAATCCTAGCAGATGTGTTACCTTTCAAATGGAGTAATATTTTATGAGGGTGCAACTTTCTCGATGTGTGGTCACAAATACGAAGCTTTTAGACATGACTATTTGATCAGCCCTAGGTATAACGGGTAATGTTTGCCGAAAATCTCCTGCTRGCAGTACAGTGACTCCTCCCATCAAACTTATATCCTCTTATATCTTTTAATGTTCTATTGAGAGCTTCAAAGCCACCCTTGTGAGCCATTGCGCATTCTTCCCAAACTATTAACTTACAGTTTTTTAGACCTTTTGCTATATTACTCTGTTTGGAAATATTGCACATAGGTATTTCTACTMTCGTTAGGTTTAATGGTAATTTAAATACAGAATGAGCTGTTTTACCTCCTAGCAATGTAGCAGCGATGCCTGAAGAAGCCACAGCCAAAGCTATTCCATTATCTTTTCGTACTCTGGTAGTCTGGCCAATAAAATATTTATGACAAATATTTTACCAGTGCCTCCTGGTGCGTCTAAGAAAAATGTTTGGCCGGTGTTTTTTTCAATGTCCTTTAATATTTTGTTTATACATAGGACTGCTCATTATTTAGTAAATGTTCATTTAAATTTATATATTGTGCCAAAATATTTGAATCATAGGTAATTGATCTCTCGAAGGTAATCTTTATTTTGCWAGACTGCTTCACATCTTGATGGCTGAGGTAAACCATAATGTTGCAAACATTGACATCCCAGAGATAGAACTGTATCTTCAAGATTAACTAAGCATTTATTGTTAACTTCATTAGTAATTGAGTTGACATTCTYGTGTTGTACATCCAACTCCACTCGATGTAGTATATCTTCAGAACTTCTGAAAGACTGTCCTTGTATTTTTCTCAAAGACTTAGCATCCGACAATTGACAAAATATCAACATAATAGCAAAAAGTTCCCGTAATTTAAATGGAGAACCACTAAGCACAGCTTCTTTCATAGTTGTATCCCAATGCCTTTCGTCTCACACGCTGCCTTAAGTAGGTTGAATTGTGCCGTTAATAGTTTTCAATTTCAAAAAAGATGTAGGACCTCGGATTTCATGAAGTAAAAAGCGTAGATGTAATACTCGGTGTTGCCCTAAACACTGTCACCAATAATTTGAATGATAGTGTGGGGCA